AGAGGCCAGGCAGATGAAATTTGTTTATAAGCTTCTTTTCCTTATATTCTTTGCCTTAGTTTCTTTACATTAAAATACGTACATACATTGTAACATATATATATATATATATATATATATATATATATATATGTGTGTGTGTGTGTGTGTGTGTGTGTGTGTGTGTGTGTGAATGACTTTCCCGTTGTTTTCTGAAGTATGACGGTTCACCATCTCAGTTCTTAGCCCCAAACAGCCATTTGATCATATTGGTAAAGGCGTGTGAAGAACCGATCACACAAGTGGAAGTACCGAATAGAGAGAACTGGTACATACCGTGCCGAAAATTCCTCAAACAATCCACCTCAAGTTTTGATTTCAGAATATCCTTCTCCTAGACCGGTTGCATCCAAGACCTAAGTCTGTTCTGCTAATACTGTGAACATTGTACAAAAGACCACAAATAGTACAAGAGAATGTGTTGTATCCAAGTGCAACAGAAACGATGTTTGCTGTCTTATTTTGCTTTCTAATTTCACATAGTCGACTGAAGATTACTTCTTGATGGGACATTATTCCTGAATGGCAGTTAGAACGTTACAATGATCTCTTCATAGCTACCTCTTCAAAGTTCTTGAATGGAATGTTGACGCAAGGTTGATTTTTATTTTATCTTTATACCTGAGCCAAGGTCTGTCTTTTTTTTTGTTTTTTTTTCAGATGCCAATTCGGAAGTGCATTCAAGTGTTAATTCTATCAGCATAGAAGCATATCCATTATCACTAACTTCGGTGAGCGAGTCATGTAACAGGAATAGAGGATAGCAGGATACGAAGCCAATTCATATATGGTAAATTTTGACAGGTTAATGTTCACAGCACAAACCAAAGAAAGCTTGTATGAAGGTACGCATGTTGGATGATCCAGCATCCAAGAATGGTTGAAAGATTTTTCCAACAAATGGCTGTAAATGGTAAGGAAAAACTATGGCTAGCTATACATAGATTTTGCCTTAACAGTTGCAGCTCGGATGATGATCTCAGAAAGAGATGGAAAGTAACTGAGAAATAAAAGTGATCCTCACTGTTGCAGCGCATTTTTTGCTTTATTCAATTGTAATATACGGAAAAATACGGGAAAATATTCGTGAATATGAAAGGATTATGATCAAAATTATTCAATCAGACATGGCTCAAATAGAATTTGCTGCCTAGGTACACTATATATATATATATATATATATATATATATATATATATATATATATATATTTATATATATGATAGATTTGTCATCCAGCTGATATATATATATATATATATATATATATATATATATATTTAATGAGAGGGAGTGTGAGAGAGAAAAGAGACAGAGAGGGAATTGCTATAAGTAATAGCTTTGTCATTTAGCTGATATATATATATATATATATATATATATATATATATATATATATATATATATATATATACTAGCAGCATGGCCTGGCGTTGCCCCTGCTTGATTCAAAATCGTACGACTCATACAGCAATCGCTATCACTTGACTTAAAATATTTTTGCCCTTCCTTGCCTTTAAAGGAGTGCCCTTTGCCGTGCTGATGTTGCTACATGCTTTACCTCTTGCCTATCTCACACTGCGAATTTTTTCTAAGCTCTATACTAAACATTAAATCTGTTACGAAAAAAGCACTAAACAAAATGAACACAAAAGGATCAGCTTTAAAAAAGCACTCGTAACTGGAAAAACCGAATGAAAATGAATGTTAACAACAAATACTTTTTCACACCCAACCCATTCATGCGGAATCAGAATCAACGTTGAGTTTAAGCAAGCGAATGAGCCAATTGGAGTAAAGTGCCATGCAGATTTAAATTTTTCCCACTTGTGACGAATGCAGCTATCGATTTTTTTTGTATGCTAGCATGCTAGTTAACATTCGTGTCAGTCAGTTGTTGGCTCTCACGCTGGCCAATAGAATCTTCCTGCCTATTCATGGCAGCCAGCTATAGGCTCTCACTCTGGCCAGTAGAAAATGGCCTCAAACTACATGAAAACTGCCGTAGAAGCATGAAAAATCGATTATTTCCACTATCGATGGGAGTTGGGAAATGCAATGTCGGTCTTGGCCTTCCTCTAACTTGAAGCATGTGCATGTAAATTTTGGTGCAAATCCGTCGAAAATTGTGGCCGTGCATTCGTTACACACACACACACACACATCATGCCTTATATATATATATATATATATATATATATATATATATATATATATATATATATATATATATATATATATATATATAGAGAGAGAGAGAGAGAGGAGAGAGGGGCACAGAGGCACAGAGGCACGGTGGAGTAATGTACAGCGGCTTAGATTGAGGAATCGCAGAGCCGAGTTCGAATTCCAGTCGAATCCATGACATTCACTTACGTGCTAATACCCTTAGGAAAGGTATGAATCCTCTTACTCTCCCTCCAGCTATGGGTAAAACAGCAGGACAGACTGGTTTCTTTCGCCTTGGATGGCAACTGGTCTAGGAGAAGGACAACTCTGAATTCAAAACCTGCGGAGGGTCGTTTGAGAACCTTGTGGCACTCGATGCACCAAGTCTCTGTATTCGTCCCTTCAAAAAGTGTGGATGGTCCTGCACGAAGCCTTCAACACTATAATCAAATCTCATGTGTCGGTGTCGGGCTGTCGGTTTCCTGGAAACTGATCTGCTTGACCCTCATCGAATCTCGACGGGAGAGTCGATTATATATATATATATATACTTCCGGAAGATCTATTCCTTCGTGGTTGAGGATTCCTGGTAATGTGTTCATGAGAAACTACTTTCAGAACAATAAGTATGAACCTACTTTACGAGGAGTTGAGCTGGTTCAGTAGAATCCCGATTATGCTCTTGTTAGGTTACCAAATGGAAAAGAAATTACTGTTTCTCTGCGTTGCCTCACACCTGCTGGGGAGGGAATGACAATCTCCGAACATGAAGCTGTTATAATAGTCCCCAATAGCCTCATACCCGATTCGGATGGAAGTAACATATCAGAATCAGAAGTTACTGTACTACAGTGATTCAACTGAAGGGGATGAACCAGGAACATGTAACTTCGCTCGCCTAAACACTTAAATAATGCCCCCCCCCCAATCCTCTAAGCATATCACCAAAGAATCTAAACATCTCGGTATCGAACACTAAAAAAGAGAACATTTTAATTAATTAGATTAAGTTGTTTTTGAAACTGTGTTCCTTATCTTTTGCCGAAATAAAGTAATCCAAATTTACATTGTGAAAAAAAAAGTTGGGGAGAATGCTGTATTCATATGCAAATCTCCACCGTATAAATAGCAGTTGACAGAGCCGGTCGCTAAAACTAATCCTGATCTTAGGCCTTGTGCCACATCTAATCTCGTGAGGAGGTTAGTAAATACACTAATCATGACCTTAGCTGGCATTGATATGCCAAACCTCCAGGTCGGGACGGGGAGGCTAGGTTTATAGCACGGTGCCTGAAGCGTCCTTAAAAGGGGAAGTACCGAAGGAGCTTGGGAATTTTTGCACGGTGCGGACGATAGGCACATTTTAAACCTCGACCTTGTGTTGCATCAGTTTACGACTTGGGCAAAATGGTAGATACCACAAATCCTGAACTTGAAGACTAAACTGCTAGAGAAATAGTATTAAATATGTCTCTAGCTAATTATGACTTACGGCATTCCACTTTCCTTATTATGCATTCAAAGAATTTATACTCAGAATCAGGATGAGAGAGTTGAAATTCTTTTCGTGTCAGTTTTCCTTAAAACATACTCGTTAAATCTATGGGTTAAATAGTATGACTTTTATCGAACATTGTTATTCTAAAAGATTGGCTAATGCAATAATCAGTCACAAAAAAGTATTATTCTCACAATCCAAAACACGTTTCGGTTTTAAATGACCCACGAAGTGTTGATTAGCCGTAAAAACAATCAACCTTCTTAAATTACTGGAATAATGAAAATGTCTCAGACAACCTGTGTCAACTACGTTCTTCGTCAATATTCAACGGATTATATAAGGCCAAGAAGTTTCAGACAACAAACATTCCTGCATTTGTTCGTACTTATGATTATGCTTGTCTTAAGTACGTCATAATAGTTATTTTGTGGGTTATTTCGAACTGAAAGGGGGTCGGTTACATTACCCAGGGTTCTCACTCTAAATAGTGATCGGCTCGGCACTGCGTAACTTCGCTGATCGAACGTTTTCAGCGTAATTTAACACACAGGTCGCAATGTATCAGTTTTTATTCAGCAAGTTAATGTTTTCACAATAAAATCGGCATTAACCAACGATGTTCAGGATACAATTATATTTAGGTGAGCAATATGTCGTCCAGTGCTGATAAAAATGCTATTCGAGAGTCTGGTTTTATTATTCAAATAAATTCAGGGCAACATAAGATTTGATTGATTTACACTATTTATATTCTGACTATTGTTTTCATCTTTGTTGTTGGTATCACAGCGTTTCGGCCGTTGTGCTCTCAGGCTTTCCTCGGGTGTAGAACTATCTGGAGAGCAAAACAGCCAAAATTTTGCGATAACAACAACAAAGATGAAGACAACAATTCGAATATAAATAGAATAATTAATGATAATTCAACATTCCAGAAATTAAGACAGAGATTACATTGGTCATGTATTGGACAAAGTTAATGTGACCTAGCCATGAAGTAGTCGTTTGGGAGACTATTTTGGAAGATCGATGCTTCATAATGGAGTTCGAGTTAGTTGGATGCACTGAACAGTTGTCATGTGCCAGAATACGCTAAGCTTTATGGAAAATTTGAACAGAAAAGATGCAAGAAAACGAATCTATTTAAATGAAGTGAAAAAGGTTCATTAACGAGGAAAAATTAATAAAATCTTGACTATTTTAATATTTATTTAATATAACTTTTAGGATATTCATACCCCACATCTCTCTGGTATCAGTCTTTTTGATATATTTATTACGGTCCGTTCAG